AACAAAGTTATTGGAAATCACAATGTTACCAGAAACAACAAAGTTATTGGAAATCACAATGTTACCAGAAACAACAAAGTTATTGGAAATCACAATGCTACCAGAAATAACTAAGTTATTGGAAATCACAATTGTCACACGCAACGTAATATTACCGTAATTGGTATAGTACAGGTGTGATGGTTCAAATACCAAAATGGCAACAGTAACAAAAAGACTTCCTTGGCGGTGATGATAAAACACAAACACGGAGCCAACAGATGAGGTTTCAACTGGTACTGGTATTATTATACTCTGCAAACATCAAGTACAATAACGCGGTAAAACTCCACTACTCCAATAACTAGATACTTAAACTCCAATACAATTCAACGAGATCTCCGATCTCCCCTATATACCCCCACTGTCTATAAATAGACCATTACATCAGCATACATAATGAGTCTGGAATTTACTATAAATTTCGAGAATGTTCCATTACCTTCTATTGCCTCCTACAGTGTTCTATTACCTATTCAACCAGTTTCTAAAAAAAATCTAGAATATTCCACCCAGACACAGTACGGTTCTAGAACATTCTCAGTGACACGGAAGTGGTAAATAAGTCGTATGCGGCATGCCTCCCCTCTCAAGAATATTATAACATATAATATTACATAACTAGCAACGACGTCAATAATACGAATACGATAACAATTTCAATTAAAACAACAATACAATATATCAAATCAAACTGAATAAAGCTCCGAGTACATAAATTCGAAAATCACATACAGTAGAATATAATAAAATATGAAATATAGTCATAAACGAATAACATTCTACTAGACTGTTCAAAAGTTCCTCAGTCCATCAATCTACTCAGGTAGTCCGCTACCACATTGTCCCGTCCAAGAATATCCTCAACACGATAATTATATCCTTGCAGAGTCATCGCCCATCTCATCCATCACTCGGTCATTTGCAAACTTGGCTTTATCCAGGTAAGACAATGGTTTATGATCCGTCTGCAAAATGAACTCCACACCGGCTAAATATAGGCGAAATTTATTCACGCCCCATACAATGGCTAAACATTCCCTTTCTACAGTTGAATATTTCTTTTCTGCATCGGATAACTTCTTACTTGCATACGCAACTGGATGAAGCTTCTCACCATGATTCTGCATAAGT